CCGCCAAGTCAGCCCTCATATGTCATATCCAGGAACAATAATATCACAAATGATTACTATTTCTACCCTTACGGGGCACCCCACTTTGCTCAGTGAGTTTGCATACAAGTTCTTAAGTCCTCTTAAAGCCCTGCAGGGAGGGACCCTATTTATATTCTGCAGTTAGGAAGCTGAGGCACAGGATGGTTAGGCAAATTGCCCACCAACACTTAGTTAGTGACTAGGAGAGGTGGGTCCTGATCCCAAGTGTGTGCCTCCTAGGGCAGGTCGTCGGCACGATGCCACTTTAGAACAATAAGTAGAAGCATAAGTAGGTATAACACATGCCCAAGAGCATCCAGTCGGACCAGACGTGGACTGGAACACTCAGTCCCCATCCTTGGACTCTGCTCTTGAGCCGCACTGTGTCCCATACCCTGATGTCCAGCATGAGTGATTTTTATTGGTTCATGCCCTCAGCAGTCAAAATCCCTGAGTTGCAGAAGGTAAAACCTATTCTAGTCAACGAAAGCAAAGATATTTTCTCAAAAGGAGTCACAGAATCAGTGAGAAGGCTGCTATGCCATGCAGAAAGTGGGCAGCTCTAGAGACTGGTGAGTTGAAATGAAACAAACCATCTCTTGCCAGAAGAGATTCGTCCTGGGTCTCTTTGTCCCTCTCTCAGAGTGTCCTGGTTCAGGTCAGAGAGTATCCACTGCGAAAGAGATTCTTTCCTAAAATGAAATCATGTATTGGTAGCTGGGGTACTGTGTTGCCCAATTCCAGGGGGCACCATAGATTCAACGTGAATGGTCTGCCCTCAGGTTGCAACACACCAGCAGTACAAATGAATCCCAGACCGCCCCTCTGAACCCTCTGCACCTGTGATGTACACTGCCCCCACACACCACTGGCTCCTCACAGCTAACGTCTGTATAGCTTAATTATTGCTTCTCCTCCTGGTGCACTGGAAGATTCTTAAGGACAAGATCCAGAATGTTAACATCTCTGTTTCAAATACCACATAATATAGAGGAGTAATTTCCAATAAAACTCCCCATATCCATACCCAAATATATACTTCCTTTTAATCATGACTGGACCAGTACATAGAGTGCCATAAAATGGGGGCGTCGGCCATCTGGCATACGCTGCATTTGCATGTGGTCCTTAAGGAAGGATCTATATGCTGAGGACATGGGCATTTAACAGAAGCCAAAGTCTGTACTAAGAACAATCTCCTGGTAAAAGTTCAGCCTCAGATGGCCCTGGGGAGGCCTTTTAAAGGAATATTATCCTCACCCTCCTGGTATTGTTCCACGTGGACAGCTGCTCTTGCCCCAGCCATGCTGCCCCTGGCCCAAAGCCCCTTTTAATGTGGAGAGTTTGATCTGTCTCCAAATATTTACTGAACAGGTCCTGTGTGAAGCAGGAAGTCTCTGTGTCATTAAAAGAGCCCAGTAGCTAACAGCAATAAGCATTTATCACCTCCTTCCTCCTCCACCATCCCTCCTCCCTCATACCCGGTCGGTTGTTCCGAGTGACTCATTCCCTAACCCAGCCTCTTGTGTCAGCACATCCCAGGCCCAGACACTTCCAGAGGGATACAATAGCAAGAGCAAGAATGAAGTTGGTTGGCAAACCCATGTCCTGACTCTGGATCTGCTCATGCAGTAACCTCATTCAGTAACCATATATTGCACCCGGCTGTGTGTCAGACTCTGTGCAATGTGCTCAGAACCATGCAAACAAGAAGGCACAGAAACCCAGTCTAGTGAGTAAAGCAGGCCTGTAAGCAAATGATTACAATTCCAGGTGGTCAGTGATTCAAATGGTTCCCATAATATTCTTGTCTACTGTCATATCCAGCACCTAGAATAATACCTGGTTTATAACAGATGGACCCCAGTCATGTGGGTTGGTGGATGAATATATTAAAGGCTAACACTTAATGATTGCTTACCATGCGCCAGGTGCTGTTATGAGTTTTACATGTATTAACTCATTTGATGTTCACAAGAACCCTGTGAGATAGATGTTATTATCACCCACATTTCCTAATAGGGAAACTGAGACACAGAAAGATTGGATGACTTGCCCAGTTAGTAGGAAGAAGAGCCAAGATTCAAACCCAGCCAGGATAGTCTGGCCCCAGAGTCTCTGCTCTTAGCCTCTGCTTATAATATGTTCCCTGCACAGTGCGGGGAGGCAGTCACCATCTGAGGAACTGGACAAGGTTTCATCCTTTCTCCTGACTTAATACTGACATGGATGGCCCACCCAGCACCATGATACCTCAGTTCCTCAACTTCCTTACTTCTAATAACCATTTCCATCATTCCACCTCAACTGCTCTCTCCCATATCAGCTCTGCATCCTGTCATTGCCAGTAAATGCTCTACTTCTGAAATCTGAGTCAAGCCTTCTGACCTCTGGCTTCACCATATCCTCCCAGCTTACCATTCTATGACCTTAATTGCAATACTGGAAACTCCATTAAACAGACTCCACCACTGTTTTGCTATTAACCAACTCCACTTGCCTTCATTTTTTTCCTTACCCTCCTTTGATCCCATGCTGTTATGATAAGCTTTTCCCTGTGTCTATTCCTAGTAGCCTTGCCTTTCTCTCCTTATCATTTTTGTCCAGTAAAACTCTAATCCAACCATCTACCCTCTCTATTTTTGCATCAGAGCTACTGAATGTTGCTGAGAAAATATAAATCTTAGCCAACCAGAGAATCTTTAAATTCATAGCCACAAGTCTCAAAAAAAAAACACACAAAAAAAAACACTCAACCACGTTGCCTAGTAGTCCTACTGTGTTTTTCAAGTAAATTTCTTCCCCACTGTCCATAACTATTTTATGCCATCTTCTTGCTCCTCAATGGATCAGAGTCATCACCCTCAGGTTTTCCTTACATCTCTGCCCATGACCTTTACTGAAAACAAAACAAAAACAAATAAAAACAAACAATAACAAAACAGAAGTAATCAGTTTGGAGCCCTGCCATTGGTCCACTGGCAAATCTACAAATCTATCTATATCTGAACCTGTTCTACTGTCTTTTCAACCTCATAACTATGGGAGCAATCTTTGTGCTGCCCTCAAAGGCAAATCCCTCCCCTCTCATCTTCCTAAACACTTCATTCCTTCAGTTATTTCCTCTCTTCTGCATCTTCAATCCCTCTCTTTCTACAAAATAATTCCCTTCAGATTACGAACATGGAGCAATATCTCCTGTCTTAAAGAAGCCACTCAACCCTACACTCTCCTCTAATTGTTGTTCATTTCTTTTCTGCTTCTCTCTATAGAAAAACTTTTTTACTTTCTTACCTCCATATCACTCTTCAACCCACCCTATTTGGGCATTTGTTCTCACTTCTCCAATGGTCTTGTCAAGGTCACTAAATGACATCCAAATTGCCAAATCTATTGCCAATTTTTGTCCTTAAACAAATTTTTGAATATAATTCAACACAGTTGATAATACCCTCCTTTTTTAATTGACTAGAGAGAGAAAGAGAAACATTGACATGAGAATGAAACATCAATCAGTTGCCTCTGGAATGTGCCCCAACCAGGGATCAAACCCACAACCTGAGTATGTGCCCTGACCAGGAATCAAACCTGCCACCTTCTGGTGTATGGGATGATGATCCAACCAACTGAGCCACACCTTCCTCTTTTGAAGAATATCCATCTGGCTTCTTTGATCCACTTCTGGTTGCCCTCTTCTCCACATCTGTTCCTTCTTGATTGCTTTGGCTGGCTTCTCCTTCTCTGGCTCTCTCCTGGACGTTAGAGGGCCTCGGGAGTGGTTCTGGCTCTTCTCCCTTTTCTACCTATTAATTTTATTTTCCTGGGAATGGGGGGGGAGGGGTGCTCTCATACTGTCCTATGTCCTTATCACCATATACATGTTAATGACTCCAATATTCATACTCTATCTCTAACCTCTTTCAAAAATTCCAGATTCATGTATCCTACTGCTCTCAAGGTCCCTTAATAATCACCCCAAAGATAATCACTAGGGTATTATCTTTAATCACTGTCCCTACACAAAGGTCTTCCTCCCCAGGCTCTCCTATCTCAGTAAATGACACCCCTATCTGCCCAGGTGCTCAAGTCTAAACTCTCCTTTGCCTTCACTCCACATGCAACTCATCATAAGTCCTGTCTCCCAGTGTAGTCATGATTGTATTCATTTTTCTCCATCACCACCCTCATGCTTCACTAATCCATCACTCCCCTTAGCCACTGAATGGCCTCCATTCTAAGCCTCTGCACACATTTGTCATTTGATTTTTTACCACTTTTTTACATGGGCCCTTTTGTTCACTACACTTCAGCACTCTCATCTCCCTCTGTCCTTCCTTCCCAAACTCTTGTCCATATCAGGGCCTTTGTCCTCTTTCTGGTGCCCTGGGGTTCTCTTCTCCCAGATCTTTAAATGGTCACCTCACTCTCCTCCCTCAGGGCTTAGCTCCAATGTCATCTCCTTAGAGAAACCTTCCCTGACCAGCCATCCTATCAAACATGGTGTCTCCCAGTACACACCTTTAGAAACATTTACTGAGTGCTTCCCAGACATTGGTGCTTTCCAATGATTACTTCTTTTATTTTTCACAGCTTGTTAAAGTGAGCACTGCTATTGGCATTATTATATTCATCTTAAAAACAAGGAAACTGAGCCCAAGGAGGTAATAACTGTCCAAGGTCAAACAGTCTTCAGAGATGGTTTCCGGATTTAACCCTGCTCAGCCCAGCCGCAGCCTGGCCTCTTAACCATCACACCACCTGCCTGGCTCGCCTTACCTGATGTCTCCTTCCAGCACTTTTTACATTCTAGCTACTGTTTATGTGCTGTCAGTGTCCTCATTAGAATATCAGCAGTGTTTGGACAAAGATCTTTTTCTTCACCGCTGGATCCCCAGGGCACAGTGAGCACAGAAAATATGAGAAATCATTTTTGTTTTAAATGGTTGTATAACACTATGTATGTTTTGTTTATTTTTCAGAGCAGATTTATTATGCTGGCCCTGCCACTAATCTTGGATTTGAAATTCCCAAGGTAAGGTTTTGTTTTTTCATTTTGTTTTGTTACTTAATTATTATATTGAGCAGTTTCTCCAAGGAGAACAGAAGAATGGGGGGTGGGTAGAAGAGGACGAGGTGGGGGAGGAGGAGGAATAGGGAATTAAACAGTTAACCCTTCATAGGCCACCAGTAAGAAAACCCTCTTTCAGCAAAGCTGATACCTCATAGTGGGCAATTTCAAATGTTTGATGAACTGGTTTTGTCATTTTGGTATTTGACATTTTATGTCATGTCAGACCTTTGGGGATCCTCTAGGTCAACACCTCCTACATAGAGGGATGTGTCCCTTCAGGGCTGCCCTGCCTGTGGGGACTCCATGTAACTGCCGCTGCTGGGGTGTGGGAGGCAGGCACAGGCTGGCTGTCTTTAGCGCTCAGTAAGGCTGGCCTTTCAGAGAAAGGAATAAACACAGCCACGAGGGCTTACAGGTGCCCCAGTTAGCATCCTTACACTGCTATTCAGGGGCTGCCACTGAGTAAATAAAGTGTCCACATCCTGAGTGTTCACGGGAGAGCCTCACAGTTAAGAGTAGAATTTTCCACTAATTCCATTTTTCTCAAAACAATGTGATTTTATTAGATGGCTGCATGCAAACAGCTCTGACATAAGCAATACATTTTCAATATGCTACTCCTCAGAGAACTTTATGGAACAACATAAAAATAATCAGAAAAAATGTAATAATCTTTATTTTTTTTGTTTTTTACATCATCGTTTTTGTCCTCCAAAAGGGTCTCCTTCTTCATAAAAAAATGTGTTTAATTTAATTTAATTTCTCTTGTGTTTCCTTTCTATCCTAGCCTCTGGTTCCTAAGGTCAAAGCTGTGGTGTCTGTAGGCCATCTGGGACCTTCACCAGCATCGCTCAAGTAGCTGGGAACTCCGCCCCCCCTACCCCCACCCCCCGGGTTTTTCTTCTCCAGAGCTTTCTCTGCAAGCTTTCAGTATAATATGAGTTTTGCAAATTCTCTTCATTTCTAAAATGTGGGGTCTAAATTCTCCAGATAGATTTTTCTATAAATCTTTGCTATTTGAATTCTTTTTCCTTACTCATTTTCTTTCTGATACCCCGCCCCCCCCCCCCACACACACACACACACACACACACACTGGGAGATTGACTTAAAATTTGCAAACAATTGACTTTCATCTTGCATTATTGGCTCTTTTTTTAAAATAAACCAAATTCTGTTAGCAATTGCTATGAAAGGGGAAAGAACTCTTTATACTCATGGAATCCCTCTGAAATAAAATTTACCAGAGCTGTACAAAGCTTCGTTGCCAGGAAAAATGCTCAATGAGATTATTTCCCAGCATGAGGGCAAAGATGCAGTCAGGTCTCCTGGCCCTGGTCTGGGTGTTTGAGCATCTATTGACTATCTTTGCCTGGTTCTCTTGCCTCCTCCTCTTCTGAGGCCTGGGCCTGGGAAGCAGAAACCTGGCCAGCGCTATTCCCCCAACCCCCACCCCACAGCCTGCTGACACCTTGCCAGACCCAACAGGGGAAATAACCCAAGTGGGACACATGCGGCCTGTCACATAAGCAGCAGAGGCAGCTGGAGGCCTTAATCCCCACGTGGGCTCCCATGTTGGCCGAGGACCAGCTGCGGTCAGCTCAGGGTACCTGGCTGACGGCCAGCCTACAAGGCTCAAAGGCTTCCCTTCCTAATATGGGACAGAGACAGTGCGAAGCCTTTTGGTTTGAAAAAATCCCCTCCTCCCACCAAATCCCCTGGAGATGGGCTCTGTGCTAATTCTGTACCAGCTTGGCTGAAAACTTCCGCTCAGCAGTCCATCTTTAGTGTCTCGGTATTCTTTACTTTTCATAAGCGGTGCCTGGGCCCAGATGGAAGCCCGCCTGGGCCTTGCATCTCTCTGTGACTGTTGTTTTCTGGATTAGAGCTCAAGATCCTTGGGCCTCCAAAGCACATGGGTAACTTGTAGGTACAGCCTGAAATGCATAAGTGCCAGGGACTGCATGTTCCTAACTCACACATTCGGTGCTTGTCTCAACAGCAGAAAGGCCACCGCTCTGTCCCTTGTCCCTCCGCTGCCCCCTGTCTTCTAGCATGTCCTTCCACCTGCCTAGAGTCGGGCACAGTTGCCTAAATACTATTGCCTCTTAAGCCAGAGTATCTATAGCTTGTAGTTCATAATCTAGAAACCCCTCCTTCAAATACTACATCTGACGTTAGGCTTATAAAGCAATAATAAAAACTTTATTTCATTTTCAATAATTTTATAGGGTATGGACATAAATGCACATGGGCAGTTAAAAGAAAAATAGATGGTGATAATTAAGCATAATCAGATGAAAATTTGAGCTGGTTTTTACTCATAATTACTTCTCTTTTACACTGCTTTGGTTAAATTCCTGACACTGCTCCTGTAACCACAGCTGCTCCATATGTGAGCAGTCAGACCCACGGGAGCCTATACAGCACAGAAGCCTCAAGCTGAATGGTGCCTGGGGTGTTCCAATCAATCCCCATGCCCAAGACACCATCCCGAGTGGAACCTGGGTGTCTCGAATACAGTTTTCAGTGGGGGGAACCCGTTTGCTCCTGGACCTCTGCTACTTGCTAGGAAGTTGTTCTCTTCTAACAAAAACTGCCTTTCATGCGACTTCTACCCCGCAATCTGATTTACCCTTCCCTCTGGCTTACACAGATTGGACCCCTTTCCTTCCTCCCGTGACAGGCGTGTCGAAGATGTGCCAGGAGCCTCCTGCATCCTTCCCGCTTGGGCCCTTGCCCTGCTTAGTGTTCCGCTGCCCGCCCCAAGCTTTTCCTCTCCAGACTGCTGAGTCTACAGACACTGCCAGTGGACCTGTGGGGGCTGGGCAGGGCTTCTGCTGGGAGCAAAGCAGATGTGGTTAACCCCTGGGTTCTTTCTGCAGCTCCACACAGGCCTGTGCAGCAGCCACTAACACAGACAAAAGGATTCCTCTGCCCGAGTGTTGTTGCCAGAAAGGAAACCTAAAAGACAGCGATGCTTTTTCTGACAGAGCATGTTGGTTTCATAGAGTTGAATTTTGCTCCCCCAGAGGTCTTCCCTGTCTCAGCAAATGACACTTTATATTTCTACTTGCTCAGGCCAGAATCCTTGGAGTCACCCCTAACCCCTCTCTCTCCCACCCACATGGGTTTCCTTAGTAAATCATATCAACTCTTCTTACAAAATCTATCCACAATCCAACCCCCACTCCCTGTCCACCATCAGCTCCAAATCAGCATCTCTCACCTGGCTTGCTGAGTCGCCTCCCACCTGCCCTTCCTGCTGCCCCCTCTCTCCCTGCAGCCTTGGGCTAGAGGCAGCCACAGGGACCTGTCAACATGCACCAGGTCAAACCACTCCCCCGGGAAAAACACTTCATGACCTGCATCCCTTTCAGGGCTGAAGGCAGCATCCCATGGCCAGTGAGACCGCCCTGACCTCATCTCCTTTCCCTGCCCCTGGGGTTCCCTCTCCCTGAACCCCACTGAACGCTTCACTGGTCCTTAACCTCGCCCAGAGCAGCATGGCAGCCGCTGCACCTTCTCCACGGGTCTGCCTTGACCACCCTACTTAAAATTGCAAGCCAGGCCTAGCCCCATCCAGCCCTGCCCTGCCCAGCTCTGCCCCGCACTCCCAGCACCCCTTCCTGTGTAATGTCAGCATGTGACACACCACATACACAGCTAGTGATCGCATGTGCTGTCTGCCTATCCAGTGAGCCATAGGCTTCACAGGGCGAGGTTCGGTTTGTCTGCTTCTACTTTATCCCCAGGGTCCAGAGCAGTGCCTCACATGGAAGGTGCTCGATGACTCTTTATTGAGTGGTCCATTACTCTATGGCTCACACACCTCATGCTCTCCTTGTGTCCCTTGCAGGGAGAACACCAGATTTTGCTGAAACTGTATAATGAAAACCATTCCATGGTGGCCTGTGCCAACGCGACCATCATTTGCTCCTGAGCAGCTCAAAAGCACAGCAGCCTTGTCATGTGGAAATTCTAGGGCATCTCCAACTGAACCTACAGTGTAAGCAGAACCTCTGTGAGAAAGCTTGCTGAAGCCACGGGCGCTGACTTAGCCCAGCACCCTGGGCCCCAGACTTCATATGTGGAATGAAGCGCCCCAAATCACCTGCTTCTAAGGAGCCTCCTGGTAGTCACTAAGCAGTCCTGAGGGCCCATCCTTCTGTACGTGGGCACCTCACAGCAGACGCCCTGCTGCAGCTCCCTGGGAGTACTTCCTCAGGTACCAGAATAAAGAAAGCTGGCCGACAGTCAGTCATGGTTCTTCACAGAGTCTGAGTACAGTCCTGTAGTTATGTCATTTCCTGCAGACACAGCGCCGGGGCCTGGCGCAGCATGGGTGGTTCTAAAATGGTGGTTTTCAACCTTCCTAATGTTGAGACCCTTTAATACAGTTCCTCATGTTGTGGTGACCCCCAATTTCATTGTTACAAATTGAACATAATTAAGGCATAGTGATTAATCACAGAAACAATATGTAATTATATATGTGTTTTCCGATGGTCTTAGGCAACCCCTGTGAAAGGGTCGTTCGACCCCCAAAGGGTTGAGAACCCCTGTTCTAAGAGATTCCGGAGGATGGTGGCCCTGCTAAAGCTAGTGCACTGGGGAAACATGCCTATCCTTCTGCTGGGAAAGCCCCTCGCCCTGGACCTCAAGGGCAGAGAAGCTGATGAAACCTCATAAAGAGTGACATCAAAGTCTTATCTGATGGATAGCTGCAGAGCTATGTACCAGGCCCTGCGCTCAGCCTGGTACTCCAGAGAGCAAAGCAGGCACTGTCCCTGCCTTCACGGAGCGTGCGGTCCCCTACAATATTACAAAGCCACATGTCGGCCAGTGGACACATTTATTCACACACAGAAGCACCTCAATGCCCTCTGTTATGAGCAGGTGGCCTGCCTGCTGTCAAAGCCATTTTGGCAGCCCCGTCTTCTCCTGTCCTGCCACCTGCAGAACCGATTGGTGGGCCCCACAGCCCCTTTGCCATCCTGAGTCTTCCCCAACCCCCCTTCCTATGTCCCTGGGCCCAATGCCTGTCTGGCCTGTTGTCCTGCAAAGGGGCTGGAGTTAGGTGACTGGGTTGACTTTATTATTTGCAGATTTTTTCTATCCATGACAGTGCCACTATATTAGAGATTAAAGAGGAAAACATGCCATAGTTTTAAAAAGTTCATTGCTATCAATTACTGTCTGCATATAATTAAACTACCTAGAATAGCAATCCATAAATACTTGGTGAATCCAAACTTTAGAACCAGAATCTGAGGCTCTTTGAGATTATAGAGAGACGAAATTACAGTGTGGCCTGCCTGTGCCCCTAAGTGCTCAGGAGGAAAGACCAGCTGTGCCGTGCCAGGCTCAGGAGACAACCTCTGACCACACACAGGGTGGTACTGCTACACACACAAAAAGCAAGCTGAGTTTCTGACCCTTACGGTTCCCTCTAGCAAGACTCTCCCCTGCACCCTCTTCAGTAAGCATCCCTATTCTAGCAAAGGCCCGGGTAGATTCTGGGTACCCACATGTGCCAGCCGCTCAGTCAGCTGTCAGCCTTCCAACGACGGGCCGAGGAATAGGGACAGCTTATTTCTTATTGTTCTACAGTTCAGCTATTGCCTTTCCTATGCTTTGCCTTCTTAAAAATTCAACAGTGTGTGTGTGTGTGTGTGTGTGTGTGTGTGTGTGTGTGTGTGTGATTGAGAGTTTCAGATACTGTAGGTGTGGGTTAAACAAGGATTTTCATATGCGGAGCTAACCTTGGCCATGACTGCATGCACTAAGGGTGCATGTTGCACTAAGGGTGTTGTGATCTGAGAGAAAAGAAAAGTGTTTCTCTGGCCCAAAATATGTCTGTCCTTAGTGTCCTGCCCTGGGCCTTAAATTTCACTTTGAGTTTCACTCTTGCAAACTGAGAAAATTACCCACTGTCTACAAGTCTCCTGTTAAAATACAAAGTCCTGGTGGGAGAAACGCCCAAAATCATGATCACTCTTTAACCCTCTGGCAGAACAGAGTGACTGGGATGAGGTTGGGAGCTGCCCTCCGGAAGCAGGAGGCATTGAGGAGCTGGCAGCACCAGGCAAGCTCTCTTAGGGGAACCGTCTATGTGTGCACCTGGGGGTAAGGGCGAGTGTGCACTGTCTATGTGTGCATCTGGGGGTAAGGGTGAGTGTGCACCGTCTATGTGTGCACCTGGGGGTGAGGGTGAGTGTGCACCGTCTATGTGTGCACCTGGGGGTGAGGGTGAGTGTGCACCGTCTATGTGTGCACCTGGGGGTGAGGGTGAGTGTGCACCGTCTATGTGTGCATCTGGGGGTGAGGGTGAGTGTGCATGAACAGAGAACTTACTTTACTTTTCATTTTCTCATAAACAAAGTTTGCTACTGTTTCAAGAACATCATCAAGAATTCCAAAGTTTCTCCTCAATAAGCTTCCCTAAAAACAGTGAGTTGGTTCAAGATTATGCTATGCCCCCAGAACCAAAGGACGCTGCAGAAACCAGCCAGCCCGTCACCATGGTGCTACAGACCTCCTTTATATTTTAAAGGAAATTGTAACTCTCTGTGTTTACTTTTTTTTTTTTTTAAGGAAATGCCGGTGCCCAAGGAAAGCTTCGCCAGGCTAGTGTTCAGCAGAATGCTGAAGATTCTTTGGGACAGTGTGATCACATCTCTCAACCTGTTTGGTCTCTGAGAAAAAAAACCCTTTCAATCTGGCTTGCACACATGGGGACCTCTGGGCCCCTGTGACTGCCCAGCCGCAGGGTTCTGGCTCAGCCGTGGTTTGCTGCAGCGGTTCACACTGTCCTCAGCATTTCACCCCCATTTCTCTATAGTTCCTTCTCCTCTCACCTCCCTGAATATTGGTTTCACCCTCAAACAGTCTTTCCTATAACTGCAAATAACTTCACATGTCCAAAGTACAAAAAAAATGAGAGACAACTTTATCCAAAATGCTGTCATTCATTCTGAGTGCAAGGTCTAGGGTCACATGACTACTCCTGGCCAGTCACTTTGGCCTGGCACTGATTGGCTTAGCCTAAGTCACATGGCCCACCCCAGAGCTGGACTGATGTTAGTCCCTCTGGAACCAATTTCTCTAAGTGGAAACTGGGGGGGGGGCGGGGGGGGGGGAGTGAAAGAGGTAAAGAAAAAAGAGGGGAGGGATACTAGAGTCCAGAACACAACTAGAATTAGGCCAGTTTCTGTTCTAACTTCCCTAGCTATTAACTCAGCAAGTGACTTAAATTCTCTGAGCCTCAGCTTCTTCGTCTGTAAGTGTGGACAATAATAATACCTACCTTATAGGAATACGGTGAAAATCAAATGAGAAAATGCATGCAAAGTGCTTGGAACAATGCCTGCATGTAACTTGAAGTGAGTGACTGTTATAAGCTGGTGCCTAATCTCTTAATTCTGCTCTAATAAAAATACCATAAGCCGGTGACTTTATTTAAATAACAGAAATTTATTTCTCACAGTTCTGGAGACTGGGAAGTCCCAGGTCAAGGCGCAGGCCGATTTGGTGTCTGGGGAGGGCCTGCTCCCTGGTGCATAGGCAGCTGTTTTCTCACTGGGTCTTCAGCTGGTGGGAGGCGGGAGGGAGCTCAGGGCCAGGGTGGGGGGTGGGGTGCCCTTCTAGAAGGGCACTAACCCCCTAATCACCTACAAAGGCTCACTTCTGAATACCATCACCTTGGGAGTTAGGCTTTCAACAAGCTGACTGGTGGGTCCCTAAGGGATGGGTGTTCCCCTCCCCTAACTCCCCTCTCCTAGTTACTGGGCTCCTCCAGCCACAGCCCACAGTCCTTCCCCAGGCCTGGATGGTGCCTTGGCACCTTGATTTCTTCTAAATGGAGCTAGTTTTATTAGACCTGGGGTGGAGTCTTATTTGCTGAGCTGTGTGCTTTGACCGTTAATTTGGAAAAGAATTTAAGGGAAACATTCGAGTATAAATTTTCCCCCAAACAGAATGTAACTGGACCAAAAGAGCCTAGGAAAGAAAATGTGTGTAATTTTTAATTAAACTTGTTTTAAAAAGAAAAGAAAAACGATATATGCCCAAGATGTGAAGAACTAAATGTAACATCTGCAACTTTAACAATTACGTCCGCCTTCAAAAAAAATAAAAATAAATAAATAACCCAAAATAGCTAGTGAGAGAACGGAAAGGGCCACGTCCTGATTTCAGGGGACTCGTTAGGGAGAGGGAGCTCATCGAGCCAGCAGGGAAACTTCAGACTTGCACCAGCTGCATGGCTCCCAGGCAGCAAACACGCTCCTGCCCAATTCCCGACCCTTTTATCTGGCCGAGGCGGCTCCCGAGGAGTGGGAAAGAGCTATTCACTTCTAGTTAGTAAATAACTTCAGTTGTTCCTTTTGGAACGGAAGCCTTCAGCTGCCTTCAAATGGACCAGCCTGAATTTTTTTCTCTCCTCTAAACCAGCTTTTCTTTAACATGTATGACAAGACGGAATCCTCTCCTTCAGCCTCTTGGTCTCCTTGTTGCTGAGGAAAAGAATGTACACATCAATGTTACTTTAGCTGAAAACAATGAGTTCTTCCCCAAGCTGATATTTTTATGGATTCCCTGAAACCCAACTAACAATGGAGGAAAACACATTCATGCACATGAACTGTGTCACTGTATCCTGGCTTTCACGCCGCCCCCCCGCCCCCCTCTCTTCCACTCAGAGGTGTTGGGGGGACATTTGAGAAGGGGCCAGAGAATATTATTGAAATGATCAAAGGGATACAACAAGGTTTCCACATAAAGGTGGACTAAAAAGGTTAAGATGTGTGAGTTGTAGAAAGACAACATCTGAGAAGGCAGAACAGCAGCAATAAGAGCAACAATTTGTTAAAAGCCACCAATGATTTGAGCATTTGCTATGTGCTGGGCACCGTGTGAGGTATTTTACCTGCATTCAATACTTAATCTCAATAACAGCTCTGCAAATTAGGAATTAAAACCAGCACAACTGTGGAAGGAAATCAATCCTGTTAGCAAAGCCCACGTGTCATCTCTTCTGGATATGTGGGTGGAAGTGATGATGGTGGCATCACCTTGTGGGTGAGCTCCTGGGGGCAGAGGGAGAGGAGGAAGGAGGACCTGGTGCCTTGTGTCCCCACCCAGCCACTCAGATGCGAGACAGAGTCACGAGGAGAGAGACGCTGCCGTCAGAAGTCAGGCCAGGAGCTGACTTCACAACAGTTTCTGAGAAACTCCAGG